GAGCAGCAGTGGAAGCTCATAACTTGGGACGCTTAAAACTAAACTGGATGCGTAGAGACGATGAGCAAATCAGATCACATGACCAAGGGCAGCTAACAATTCAAATTTGGCTGTCTCAATTCCCAGGCTCTGCTCTCACTGCCTGATGTAAATTACAATGAAATATCTTTGGTGCCGTGATTGTCTGAAGGCGTCTATCTCCGGCGTTCTGCTTTCTCTGATTTGGATTACTGTGCCGGTGTTTCTCATTTGCATTCTCTTGTTTGCATTGTATCTGACTCTTACTTGGGGTCTGATCCAACACCAGCGGGAGTGTTTCTTTGACTTTCATGGGCTTTGGATTAGGCCTTTGGTCTCATATGTTTAATTCTGTCCTTACTTTAATATAAATTAAAATGCCATTGCCACCCTCAGTTTGAGCTTGAGAGGCAGAATAGAGACTGTGTCATCCTGTATTTCAGACTCAGGTAGAAACTCTCATATCGAGGCGGGGCAGAACTGGATTTCTATTTTTTTATCATTTCAACAGATAATATTGATGTTCATTTTAAAACAGTTTTAGATTTTTGATGATTTAACTTTTCACAGTGGCAGGAAATTATGGGGAGGAAGGTCAGACAAAGCAGCACACTTTTAGCTCTCCTTATTGGGGCAGGGCAGGGCAGAGAAAGGGGATTCTGTTTCATGGAGCATTTTGATATTTCAGATTTGGTTTTGCTGAGCTTTGGAACAAAACCCAACAATTTTGAAATTCTCCATGACTTCCCCAGAGCTGCGAACCTTGAGACCCCTGGGATCCCCAGCTCCAGGGTCATGCCCTTCGTGGGCTACCCCAGAGCCACAGACCCTGAAATCTCCGGTTCAGGGGCCATCTGCCTCATGGGCTGACACTAGTAGCCCGGGAATTCCATGCTGCCCCAGAACCACAATCCAGGGAGCCAGTCCTCCCAGGACTTCCAGGTTCCCAGCTCCCCATCAGACCCCCAGATAGGCTGCCAAAGAGCTGGGAACCTAGAAGCCCGGAATCCCCAGCAACCCGCCACTTCGCTGAAATTGAACCACTTCTGCAAAGCATTGCAGCTAATTGGCATTCCCGGATGGAAACCCATTCCACTGGCGAATTTCCAACCAGCTCTGCTCGTTAGGTTGCATTTTACAAGGCTAACTATTAATAGGAGCTTCTTGCGGGCAAAGCGACTCTCGTTCTGTTTCCAAGAATTTCTCATGAGCAGTAGAGTGGTTGAGCACATGTAGAGAATCTCTTCAAATGCTCCAACGCTCACTTAGAAGAGCACTGGCCTTTCTAGAAACCTTCCCACGCTTTCTGCAGATTGCACAGGACGGCTCCCCTTCTCCGACGGGATCCCCAAGGATATTTAGCGTTCTGTTAATTCTGGAAAATATGTTTGCATCTAAGTTTCTCATATTACTACGTTTATTCTTTGATCTCATGTGCTTTTAAGCTCGCTTGGCCCAGGACTTTCATTATTATCCTGTGCTGATTCAGACTGAGGCTCGAGGGTGGGGGTGGAGGTTTAACGCCCAGGTCCCAAGAGGCTGATTTGAGGTATTCCAGATGTTTTTCAAACCACTTATTTCAATCAGCCAAGTTTCCGTGTATATAGTTTTTATATCAATCTGTTTAAAACAGTGGGTAAGCCGGGAACGATTTGAAAATTAAACTGTCGGACCCTGGCAGCAGCAGCTTGGTTTGGAATCTCAGGACTGATGTTGCTATGTCTACAGAGCTCTAGAAGCTGCTACACAGCCTACTGGGTCTTGGCTGTAAAATGAAACTGTTCCTTACTTTTATGGCAAAGGTAACTGCCTGGCAACTATCTGACTGTAACTTAAGAACCCAGACCCTTTATCTGCCCACCCCGGACACGGATCAGAGCGCCAGCAGACACTCAAAGCAAGGCTCGGCCTCAGGTACACTCAACCGGGCACTTCTCCCTGTTCCCACCCGTCCCCATGCCTCAGTGGGTCACAGCTGAGAATAGCAGATTCGGGACAAACTGCTGAGAAACAGGGCAGGCACACCTCAAACTGGTGGTTACTCTATCATTAGATTGTACCAAGCCAGTAATAAAAGTAAACTTCAGTCTCGCCACACTGGTTAACAAGAAGTCAAAAATGCAGCCTCCTTAGGCAGTCCAGGTCTTATTGGTCCACCCAGACACTGGACTTTCTGATGAGCGGTTACTGAAATCCAATTTCATCAGACAAAGGGTTCTTCTGATCTCAAGAGATCACCCACACAGCCAGGTCAATATACAAGAACCACGCTGCTGCCCATCCTTTAGTAACTAAAATCTAGTGGTTTATTAATAAAGAAAAGAAGAAGAGAGTTAATATGGTTAATAGAATCATATACCTACAATAATGACAATGTTCTTATATCAGGTTTGTAGCAGTGACGGTATAGACTGCTAGCTTGTAAAGTCTCTGGTAACTTCCAAAAGCTTGGCAGGTCCTCAGTCCATAGTCCAATATGCCCCTTTTAGTTGTAAATCCACAGTGCAGAGAATCAGAGAAGGAAAGAGGCAAAATGGAGTCATTTTAGGGGTCTTTTATACTCTTTGCCATTTGCCTGGAAATGTACAGTCCCAAACAAAGCTCACAACACAATTTGTGGGAAATTACTGGCACAAGATGGAGTCCAGGGTCTCAGGAGCATGTCACATGTCCTTACATGGCTGGCTGACTCACAGGGGCAGCCATTGGCCATATCTGTACTAAGGTGTTCAAGGAAGACTTATCTAGACGGAATGAGTTTCTTCTATGGCCCGTGGTGCGAGTGAAGTGTTCTTAATGGGCAATCAAGCGTGGTGATAGTTCAACCATACAGCATCACCGCCAAAGCTCACTTCTCTGCTCCCACTCAACCCCTAGACGACCCACCCGCAAGACGACACAGAGCTCTAGGCAGACACAGTGTCCCAGTGGCTCACCCCCAAGCTGTGGCACCATCACTTCTCCATGACCTCACCCCTCCATTTGGAGTGGCGAAGGAAGGAAGCGAGGCAGGGACAGGGGAGTGATTTGGGGCCCTTTCTTACACTCAGACTGCACCAGGCAGTGGGGAGGGTCCCAGTATTTACATGCTAGCTGCTGAGTTGTCTCTGCCTGGCTGGATGAGCTAGGCATGCTGCACTTTCTCCTCCTGCCACACACAGACCTCCCTTGGTGTAGTTAACAGCCCATTGATTCACACCTCTCCGAGCAACCATTGCAGGCTCTTTGTACACTCAGGGAGATGTTGTTGTCTTTGTACACTCAGGCAGATGTTGCTGTCACTTCCAGGTGTAGTTAACAGCCCATTGAAATTCATGGGAGAGTTCACACCTCTCAGAGCAAGTGTTTCAGGCTCTTTGCACACTCAGGCAGATGTTGCTGTCTTGGTTATGCCCACGTCATGTTTTCAATCTTTTCTTTACAACCTTGAGGGCTAGAAGCTTACCCCAGACCACTGCTGATGTGCCTAGTGTCCCCACACTGCCCCAAGGCCCACCTGCTGTGCTTGTCTGGCACTTTATTTATTAATTATTATTTATTTATGGACTTGCATAAGAATAGTGCTATGTGCCCTGTCGTTGACCCCCTTGTTCTAGGCACTGGACAAAGGGGATAGCTCAGTGGTTTGAACATTGGCCTGCTAAATCCAGGGTTGCAAGCTCAATCCTTGAGGGGGCCATTTGGGGATTTAGTTGGGGATTGGTCCTGCTTTGAGCAGGGGGTTGGACTAAATGACCTCCTGAGGTCCCTTCCAACCCTGATATTCCATGAGACACACAGAACAAACAAAGAGCCCCTGCTCCAAAGAGCTTATGCAATCTGAGTATGAGACAAGAGACACAAGGTGGATACAGACAGACGAATAGCGGGAGCACAAGGAAACAATCAGACACTACTGCTCAGCATGACAGGCTGTGTTCTAAGCACACCAGCTGCCTAATTCTTGCTCAGATCGCATTTCTCCATGTCCCAAGCTTCTAAGCAATAGGATCTTCCCCAGCCCGCTAAGATTTTTTTAAATGAGAATGAATAATTTGGAGACCATTTTTTCCACCATGGCTGGCTCATCTCTGTGCCCAGTGGCATCAATCAGACCACTTGTATGCAAGGAACAAGCTCACCCTGCTCTGGTCTGCCCAGTGTTTACTCACTATTCCTGTGAAACTCTGCTGAAAGGTCACGCCTCTCATCCATGCCCAGCAATACGTGAGTCAACAGATCGGTATCTTCTCTACTTGAAAAACTGAACAGATGTGTGCATCTGAACTTGGCACTGGGGGTGCAATTCCCAGCTCCAGGAGACATACCTGCACTAGCTCTCATCCTGCCAGTGGGCTAAAAATAGCGCAGTGGGAGCAGCAGGAGGGGCTAGTTGCCCTGAGTACATGCCTAGCGTCTCTGATGGGCATGTATTTGGGTCGGCTAGCTCAAGGACAGCTAGTCCAGCTATGTCTCCTCAAGCTGGAATTCACCGCTCCCCGCAGCTCCAAGTGTAGACATACCCTACATTCGCTTTGCCTATTGCTGTACCTCTGGTCCATCCACAGAGCTTTCCCTCCTTGATGTTTGTTATCCCATCATGTTGGGCCATACCTAAAATATGGAGTGTAAGCTGTTCAGGGCAGCAGCATGACTCTGCTTAGCTTGTGAGATGGGATGTGATCGCAGACTGAGATGGTCTGGCTGTAGGCCACTGGGGAGATATAATTATCCATAGATTCCCAAGCCAGAAGGGACCATTGTGATCATCTAGTCTGACCTCCTGTGTAACACAAGCCATGGAACTTTCCCCCAAATAATCCCTAGAGCAGATCTTTTAGCAACACACCCAATCTCGATTTAAAAATTGCCAGTGATGGAGAATCCACCACAACCCTTGGTAAATGCCTTCAAAAAGCCGCACAATGAGGCTGCAGTGTTCTGTGCTGTGAACCCCTGAACATGCCTGTAACTGTCTCTTTGCTGTTGCTTCTTTCTTTCAGGTCCCCAGAGCACTGAGTATGCACGCCTCCTCCTCCCGAGAACCGGCCCTTAACCCTCTCAACTCCACGAGGGCGCCCAACTCTAGCAGCTCAAATGAGGTCAACATGTTCGACAAGTTCATCCATATGGACCAAGAACTTTACCAAGACTTTTACAGCCTGTGGATAGCCCTGATGGCGGTCAATGCCATCATTTTCCTGGTGGGCGTTGTGCTGAACAGCTTAGCTCTCTACGTGTTCTGCTTCCGCACCAAGACGAAAACCACCTCTGTCATCTACACCATCAACCTGATCGTTACTGATCTACTGGTGGGCTTCTCCTTGCCCACCCGAATCATCATGTACTACACTGCAGGGGACTGCCTGAAGTGTTCCTTTGTTCACATCTTTGGCTACTTCGTCAACATGTACTGCAGCATTCTCTTCTTGACGTGCATCTGCATCGACCGGTACCTGGCCATTGTGCAGGTGGAAGCCTCACGTAAGTGGAGGAACCCCAGCTGTGCCAAGGGGATCTGTGTCTTCATCTGGGTCTTTGCAACTGTGGTCACTTTCTCCATTCTGACCATGGCGATAACCTTTGCACCCTGCTGCCTCGCCAAGATCTTTGCCCTGATGGTCTGCGAGTATTTCTTCCCGCTCATCATCATCACCTTCTTCACCACTAGGATCATGTGTGCGCTATCCAAGCCCAGCCTCATGCACCAGAGCCGTGAGAGGCGAATGAGGGCCGTTCAGCTCCTGACCACTGTCCTCATCATCTTCATGATCTGCTTTACACCTTTCCATGTGCGCCAGGTGGCCATTTCCATCAACCCAGACATTCCCCATAACATCAGCTTAATTGTCTACCATGTGACCGTGACTCTGAGTAGCCTCAACAGCTGCATGGACCCCATCGTCTACTGCTTTGTCACCAACAACTTCCAGTCGACCATGAAAAGTATCTTCAGGAAGTCGGAGCCTGAGCAGACAAGTGGGGACATCATCAGTATGAACAAGAGCTCCAAGGGCTCAGGTACAAATGCAATCATTGCCTTCTCAAACACAATAGGCAGCCCTTTGAGCTTACCTTCAACAAACAGTACACCGATATAACCAGCTCCTAGAGGCACACACTACAGTAACCCAGTGTGGAATATTTCTGGGCTGTCTGGTACTATTGCCCTTGGCCTCTTGTTTTCTAATCTGAGCTTTGGAGCGACTGTGTTAGAATTTATTCCTCGAGAACATTATGCTCTTTTTGGAAAGAGGAACTCTCAGTGCCATTAGTACCAATACAAAAGAAAGTCCATTAATAACAGTTCACAACAGGAATGCTCTGTTTGCATTTTAATATATATGTTTTACTCACAGCAAATCCATTACTGTTGTGGTCTTCTTTCACTGTTTCACACTGCCATGTGACAGTAAGCTCCCAAACTGCAGGAGGACTTCGAAGGCCATAAACTCTCTTCTTGTCTGTGAAAGCCTCCCAGCCTTGGGGAGGGATATTGTTGTTGAGTAACGCAGGTGCTGCTAAGCTTTCCACGTTACTAGAGACAGCAAAGATTTAAGACACCGAGCAGTGTTGTTGGTTTCAGGTGACTGAACTGAAGCGGGACAAAATAAATCTAACCCACTTGTCACTAGCAGCTATTCAGATGTTTCTCAAACACATCTGCATTTCCTCAGGGAAGGCACTCTAACGCAAAACAATATCCCCCCCTCCCCAAACACACACCCCCTTAATATTTCAGCTGTAAGGAGAGGATTTGTATGACTTTATATAATATATAAACATGCAAGGATTTGTATTGCTCGGTTCATATTATTCAGTTGGATCACCAGTTTCCTTATGTTTCAGACAGGCATGGAAAGAAGCTGTCCAAACGTATGTGGTTTCTTGGAAACTCTGTTTCCCACATTTGCTCCCTCTTCCAGCAACTCAGTGGTGATGAAAAGCAGAACTGAAATACGAAGATGTGTCAGCCTTGTTTGAGTTTTTTTTTATGATGCGGCATTAAATTAGGGTTTGCTATACCAGATCCTACCATTGGTCCAACTAATTTGTATCTGCCTTTCCTCTAAGGCGTCAGAAGAAAGCAACAACAACCACAAACCCCACAACCCCATAAAGCATCTAGGTTGAAATCCATCCCAGGGCAGAGCCCTAGGCATGATTTAAGACTTATGTTTAGGATTTAAATTATGTTGAGGGCCCTCTACACAGGGATGAACTTCACCTCTTTCCGTCATGCTGTTCCTGGGAAGGGGCGAATTCACTCCTGATCCCCTGCAGCAATCAGTTTACACCCCAAAGCAGGCAGGTAGGTTTACACCCTTCTTGGAGCATGAATTACCTTTTTCATCGTGCAGTGCCATAAAACGAGTCAACCCTTTGTAACAATCCCATCGCGGTGTTTGACTCACAACATCGGCGCAAACGAGAGTCCCAATTTCAGTCTTACAGTGCTGGCTGGCGGCTGTACCATTTGCATTCTATACGGCACCATTAAAAAAGCATAAGCATGAAAAAGCAACCCAGAGAAACAGCGAGACCCACAGCATGAATGAAAACGTCCATTGCTGTGATTATTCTCCTAGTGGAAATGCCACTTGAAATATTTTCAGCGGGTTCCACCTGGCTAACGAGGTTTGAGGAACAGAGCAATGGATCTATTGGTCTGTTGGTTACTGGGACTACTGGTCAATTTAAACCAGTAGAAACCAATTGAGACTAGTTAAAGGATTCTAATGGATCCCACTGGAATTTCCACTAGCAAACTCTGCACAAGAGCCAGCAAAGGAGCGCTGCGTGCCAAAATGTACAAATTAGGGTCAAGTCCTGCTCTTGCTACAGGGAGCCAAGCGAAGGAATGGGGCAGTGGAGTTTGTGCAGCTTTATGTGTCCCATTTCTTGCTTGCGGGGAGAAGTCAGGGATTTCCCCCTCGAGGTGCTTCCCCACCTCAATCAAGTGGCAGTAGGCCTGGGGGAGGTAGGAGCCTATTCTTGGCAGGCCTTAGGAGCAAGGGGAGGTTGGCAGGATTGAGCGAAGGCCAAGGTACGGGAAGGAGTCAGGGGCCTCGGGGGACAAGGGGGGTCAGGGGGTTGAGGGGGGGGAAGAGTCTGAAAGAGGGATTGTTAAGCAACGGGCGATGGAGCTTGGAGGGGTGGGGAACAGGGTGCCTGTGGCAACCTGGGGTTGGGGCTATTGGGGGACAATGGGGGTGGGGAAGGGGGTGGGGAGGGTCTGTGTCAGTCTATCATTGGGGCTGTTGGGGAATAAGGGGGACTGGGCAATAGGGGTTTGGAGCCTGGGGAGACTGTTGGGGGGAACCTGTGGCAGTGACTCTTATTCTTCTCATCACCCCATTAGCCTCCCCCCGTTCTGCCCTCTCCAGCCCCGTCCTTCATTGTGCACTTCCCCCCCACACACACACACACATACACACTCCTCCCCTGGCCCAGCTGCCACCGCCACTTCCTCCCGGCGGCCTGGGTGTGGGTCTGCTGCCAGCAGGGCAAGAAACCTGCACTACAGCAACCCCTATAGCTGCCAAGAGGAACTGCAACTTACCGCCGGGGGAATGAATGCCGGAGCTCTCCACCGGGATGCATGAAGGTGTGCGCCGGCTGCCAGATACATGCATGCCCCACTCGAGGCGTGACATTTGGCAGTCCCGGGTGCTGTCCATGCAACTGTTCCCAGAGCACTCCTGCTGGCGCAGGGCAGGGTGGGCGCGGTGCTGGGCACACTGCCACTCCTGTGAAAAGGAGCAGTGCAGCACCCCTTGCTAACACACACTGCAAACTGCAGACTGCATGGGGAAATCTAACCATACCCCCAAAGTAGCAGATCCCACCCCATTGGGTAGTGGAGAACCGCCAGCCAGGCCCCACTCTTAAAAGTCTCTTGAGCATTAGGTGGGTCTCCTCCCCAGCTGCACTACTGCACTAGGGATGAATGGCTGCCTACACCCACTCCCTTCCCACAATGCACCTGCACAACACAGAGCAAGATCTAGCTCTTTGGCATCTAATCCTCTGCCTGAACATGATGCCCGCATGCAAACAGGTCATTGTGCCGGAGGAAAGCATGCACGTGAAAAGTGGGTAATTGTGCACGTTCGGATTTCACACACAAACCAGTACCCGGGCATGCACTGGCCTGGACTGAGGTTAAACACCTCTTTTGTAGATGCAGTATGTGTGTATTTCTTCTGTCAGGCTGGCCTGGACTTTATTTCCTTCTTTGTGGTTTGGTCTCTTCCAACATTCCTCACAGTGCACATATTTTGCAGACATCTATGTTTGAAACTGTAGGGCTGGCTCCTTAAAGCCTTCTGCACGCGATTCTTCTGGTGAAGTCAATGGGAGCTATGCACATGGACAGCTTGCAGGGTCAGGATATTAGCCCCAAAGTACAAATAATAATAATAGGGATGTCTGGAAATTCCACATAATCAAGCCTGGAATTTAAAGCAGAAGACATTCTCTAAAGGTCATTGAAAGCTCAACAGAAAGAGCTTGGTGAAAAGGCTATACATTTCAGTGTCGCCGTGGTGTCCATTTTTCTTTGGTTCCTGGGGTTTCTTTGAATGTATCTAGAATCTCTGAAAGACAAGTACTGTTGGTGAAATCTCCTCCTCCACTGATTGTCGATGGCTAACAAAGAGAATATCTGCAACATGTCATGTGTATTTATATCTGATGTAAACAATTTGTATTGCAAGAAGCTCTGTATTAAGTGTAACAGTAGCCGCTGGAGTCAGTGGGTGCTGACTTCTGTCATGTGGCAGAGACGTATAACCTTCTGTAACCTTGACATATGTCAGGTGATGCAGGCCAGGAAATAAAGCTGTCTTTTACTACCATGCCTGTGTGGGCCACATTTATTTCATGAAGGATGTTCGCTAGTTCAAAGTGGCATTGGTGTAGAGTTTGGGAGCGCTAGTCATGGACCAGGGCTCCACATTTTTCTTTATAGAGACATGTTTCAGTTTGGGGAGCTACAGCGTTTAGTAACGACCAGCGTTTAACTTGATTGCAAACACACTCCAACTGACAGGGTTAACATGCTTCAGTTGAATGCCAGATGTACGCCCAACATGGGAACCCTTGACTCCAAACATCAGTTCCCCCAACTTACCGACTTCCTTTTGGACATTTAACAAGCTGTACTCCCCACTCCGTGTGTGCATTTAAATCCTGTTCATTCAAAAAGGAAATGGAACAACGATCCATTCCACATAGTCAACGGATATTTCTTCCGTCCCGTTTATTTCTTGGCCTCTGCCACCCCTTAGATGTGGAGAGTTTATGCACGTAAGTCCCATTAGCATATAAAGGCAGATTTGGGCCTGATTTTCAGAGGTGATGGACTTTAATGGGACTTGGGAATCTTCACACATACCCTCGATATTGGAGGATGCAATAATATATTATTAGTAACATCATTTGTATATTATAGAATCATAGAATGATAGAATCGTAGGACTGGAAGGGACTTTGAGAGGTCATCTAGTCCAGCGTTTTTCAAAGTTCGGGTCAAGACTCAGTACTGGGTCGTGGCATGTCAGGCACTGGGTCGCTCTAGTCAGCACTGCCAACTGGGATGTTAAAAGTCCCATCAGCGGTGCTGCCCAGCTGAGGCAGTCTAGTGCCTACCTGTTCCGACACCACGTGACTCGCAGAGATTTCACTTTTGGCGCTGTACCTTTTAATTTCTGTTTCACAAACCTCCTCATTTTTGTGTAGTTCCCCTTTCTGAAATTAAATGCTACTGTGTTGGGCCACTGTGGAGTTTTCCCCGCCACAGGGATGTTAAACTTAATTATATTATGGTCACTATTACCAGACTGTCCAGTTCTATTCACCTCTTGGACCAGATCCTATGCTCCACTTAGGACTAAATCAAGAATTGCCTCTCCTCTGGTGGGTTCCAGGACTAGCTGCTCCAAGAAGCAGTCATTTAAGGTGTCAAGAAACTTTATCTCAGCATCCCTTCCTGAGGTGACATGTACCCAGTCAATATGGGGATAGTTGAAATCCCCCATTATTATTGTTGAGTTTTGTATTTTAATAGCCTCTCTAATCTCCCTGAGCATTTCAGAGTCAGTGTGCCTCCCGCACTGGCGCGTTCTGCCACTCTCTCAGGCAGCCGGGCCCAGGTGGGGAGTGGAGGTGATGGGGCAGAGCCACTTCTCACGCCGGCTGAAGGCAGCTGCCTAAGAGAGAGCCCAGCTGCTGCCACTTCCCCAGCCGGGCTCTCACAGGCAGCCAGAATGGTGGCTGGTCATGCTCCTTCCGCTCCCTGCCTGGGCCCAGCTGCCAAGGACAGGGGCCAAATGTGCCAGGGGGCAGGCAGGGCGGGATGGGAGGGGCTCTCCCATTGCTGTAGTTAAGCACCTCCCCAACAGGTGGTAGCTAGGTTGACGTAAGAATTCTTCCAT